AAGACAACAAGGTGAAGTTCTGGAGGCCCAGTCAGAGTCCAGACCTCAATTCAACTGAGGTTTAGTGTCTGGACCTAAAGTTCTGTTCACTCCTGATCCCTGTGGATCCTGAACAAAGAGAACTGCAGCGTCCAGATGATCAGACTGATGGAGACCAACAGGATCAAAGATGGAGCTGAAGCTTCATCTACTGAACACTGACTTGCATTGTAGAAATCTTTTTCACTTTGACATGAAAGAGTGTTTTTAGTAAACTCTTCCTCTCTACATTCAGCTTCTAACATGGTGAATGTGTTTCATCAGCGCTGTGGGCGGATCCGTTACCTGCTGTGGTCCAAACACTGCACCACCTTCCCAAAGGTCCCTTCACCCAGCGTGTCGACGATCTCGTCTGCAAAGAGACCAAATGAATAAAGCTGCGGAGCTTCATGGAGGCTTCTCTCTTGCAGGTGTGTCGGCACTTACACCTGTCCTCCAGGACGTCGCCGCTCTGGTAGATCAGGTGACCGTTCTCGGTGTCACGCTCGGCGTCGCCTGCAGCTTCATCGCTGTTCCGCTGCAAACAAAGTCAACCATGTTTACCTTCTGCTTTCATCCCCCTGGAACTGAAAACACATCCGACCTCTGCTCCTGAAGGATCTAAGGTCGCTTCACCTGCACCACACGGATGCTTCACACCTAAAAGCTCAAAGAGTTTCATGTGTTTGTTCCTCAGATCTGCAGAGCGTCATGATCAGAGCATTAAGGTTGATCCCAGTGACCTCAGCTCCTTCTGAAGGAGGTTAATAAGAAATGTCAGATGACTTCTGGCCTCGTTGGAGGAGCTGAGGCTCTATTTCCATCCACATTCTGAGACTGTTATTAATATCAGAAGCTCAGCGTGTGAGGAGTCACTTGGAGGAGGCAGTGAAATGCACATAAAAGCAACGCCGGCGTGAATGAACACAACTTGCACTGGATTAAAAACTACAAAACTGTGCAGGGGGTGAATGCAGATACTCACAGACAGGCAGAGGCAGACACAGTCCAGAAAGCCTTTACACAGAGAGTACAGCTCAGTTTTTCCCATCGCAGAGGAGCTGCTCAGAGAAACCACGGGTGGACGGATGTCGAGGCGAAGGAGAGGCAGGTGAAGCAACACCAGCAAGAGGAAAACCTCCGAGGACGAGGCGGCAAATATTAAAGCAACGGCACAGAAAAAACCAGAGGACACGGAGCTGTGACAAAAAATAGCCTCAAGTGCTGCTAGCAGAAACCGGCAGCGAAGGAGAGACACGGATAAAAAAACAGATAAAAAAAACCTCAGGAAGAATAAAGAGAGCAGAAATCAAACAGCGCAAAGAAAGTGAAGTGCAGACAAACAGAGAAAGTGAGACGCCGAGACAGAGAGGGAGGGCTGAGACAGGTGCTAAGAATAAACCGTGGTCGCAACCCCCTGAGAAAGTCTTCAGAGGAGAATTAAGATGTGCTCGGTGGGAGGAGGAGGAGGACGGAGGGAGATCCAGTTTCACCGACTCGCTGCCTCTCCTCCTGCACCTCCTTAACCCCGGCAGGAAGTTTGTGCACACCTGTCCTGCTCTGCATGCTGCAGATACCGCTCAGCGCTCAGAACCACCGACGGCCCACATCCAGCTGGACTCTGAGTTCAGACGCCAACACAGCTCGTTTAATTAAAACACAGCAGCAAAAACAGATCCGGTGTCATTACAGTCGATGCAAACGGTACAAAAACAGCAGTTAAAAGGGTTTAAATCGTCCCAACACGTCCAGTGAAACCAGCTCTGACCAAACCTTTGACAGAATCTGAACCGAATGAAAATGTCAGAACACGAGTCCCAAATGTCCACGTCACAAACCCGGAGGCACCGGTCCATAGGCGGGTCCAGGTGAGATCCAGATGTCCCCGTAAGGCTCATGCTGCTCTGCACAAACTCTCCCGGCTGATAGGTTCTCTACAACACACACAGACACACACACACACACACACACACACACACAGTGAGCCTGTAGTTCTTCATCTTTAGGCTAGATTTCCATTCATAGTGAATATTTCTGGACCGTGACGATTCTTCTGGCTGGAAGTTTCATAAAACAGTAAAGATGGTGTTTAAGGTGTGAATGATGAACTTTGAGGTTATTTTTGTCGCAGTTGTACAAAAATGTCACGTCCATAAATATTCATACCCTGAACCTTTGTCACATCAGCGCGTCTCTTTCAGGTAAAAACGTTTCTGCAGTTTAACACTTGAGCAGATTTCCAACAAGACTTGATGTTATTTCCATTGAGGCACATTTAAATGAGCCGTTCTGTGGATCTGATGTGATCAGTAAAGACGGCACGCTGATGGTTTCGCTCTTTAACTTCAGTGAAGAGATCCTGACTTTACTCACGTTGTCGTCTATGAGGCCCAAAGTGAACCGTGTTAATGCCAGATGTTATTTATAGGGATCATTTATTTGATCAGCAGGTTTCCTCTGATAGAAACAAGCGACCAGAGACAGTCAGACGAGACCAGAACGAGGCTTTTTGTCCAAACTGCTGCGTCCTGGACTGTCCTCCACATCCGTCTGTCTGCAGGTCTCCTCCTATTGGTCCAGTAAACCGGACTATGAACGTAGATGTGACGTGCTGTGAATCACGGTGAGGATGCTGTCAGAGTGTTTAAGCGACACCGTGTGGGGCGTTCAGGGACCCGACTCTGGGCTGGGATTGAAGAGCTTCCCGTGGTGTGTGTGCTGTGACGCTAACGTGAGTGATGGCAGGTCGATGCGTCCTCACCCAGCAGCCGGTGGAAGACGCCGCTGACAGTTTTGCGGTCGACGTTTGGCGGAAAGAGGGAGTGAAAAAGGACGGGTTCTGCTTCCTGTTCTGGAAACGACTCCGGAAACAACCTGAACGGAGACACAAGTTCTGATCCAAACACATGCAAAAGCTACAGAAAAGCTGAATGTATGTGTTTAGTGGCGGTTACCCAGGAGGCTCTGCTGCTCCTCTCACTTCATCCACCACCTCTGGGATGTCCTGCAGCGTAGAAACAGACCTGGACACGATGGACCTGCAACAAACGGGACAAAGGAAAGGCCTTCTGGAGGAAAGTTCTGGTCAGATGGAACAAACACTGAGCAGAACCATGTCTGGAGGAGAGA